TCTATCTATCTATCTATCTATCTATCTATCTATCTATCTATCTATCTATCTATCTCCACCCTCTTTCTCTTTTTATGTCTTTCTTGTCTGTGTGCATATCTTCACAAACAGAAGCATTCTATTTTATGATGGTAAATGTATGACGTGATGAGGACCACTTAATCAGTTTCAGAATATATATTATCAGTTAAAATGTAAAAAATATTTTACAAAAGTTTATGTAACTCTTTTGTCAAGCCATTATAATTTTCATAATTTGAAATTTGTCAAAAGTATTCATACAAGATAGCATAATATATATAATAACTCGAAATGCAATTAAAAAAGTATTATTGATTTACTTCCTTTTTCACATATCTTACAAAACACACTTTTTAAAAACATTATACAGTGCAAATATACACACAATCAATGATTCTTTTCAGTATCATATTTGAGCGTGTCCATTTTTATCGGAAAGCATTATCATCCACAATAGGCCTACAATATAATTATACATGTAATGTTAATTTATTTTTAACTGTCACAACGAATAGCCTTCCAAACTTGTGCTTTTTCTCACTAAAAACAGCGAAAAATTAAAATCTGATACTCCTAATCGGAGCAGACATGAAGAGACAATAGGGCCCTAACTAGAAAAAAAATTCATAGTAGATCTACAATTACATCACGTATGCCCAGGCCTACATTAAGATTTGATAAACCGTGGGTAGCCTACGTCTACACAAAGCTGTAGCCTAGAAGTCGACATTTTTTCTGAAAACCTGGCTATCCGGTGTGATTGGTGTGACGCGAAGTAAGAGAAGGTCCCTTTGTTTGGCGTTGGGAACTAAATTCGGCGCTCTGGGACCATGAAGATGCAATTGTGACCTTGTAGCAGGTAATATTAAGCACTTTAAGTATTAAAACTGTCAGGTGTTTGTTGGTTCTATGGTGGTATACAGTGTACCTACAAAACGTTGCTTTTTGAAGCTAGAGAATGACCTATTTTCTCGCTTTCTCCTGGACGGATCATCATACGGGCTCTCCAGCATGTTGGTATTCAATGGCATTTGTAGACCTTGGCTTCCACTGCGCAGCCAAGAGGAAGCCGGCTCCTCGATGCAGAATGTAAAGTGGTTGGGGGATGTAAGAGATCTAGACCTGTGTCATCTCAATATTCATAATGCTATTATTATGATTGAAAAGGTTTGCAAATAAAAAGGCAGTGAAGTTTTAATGTTATTATTTCAATTCCTCATTCATTTTTGGCCAGCAGTCTGCAGCCCAGGCTAAAAGAATGCTTTAGAAAGCAGCTCAGTCCAGGTTCAGGGGAAAGGTTTCAGTTTTTTCAAATTCAAACTGGGACAACTCAGACTCCGTGCCTTGCCTTGAGCCTCTGACTCGGGAAGATTGAAGAATACCGGATTGCGCGAGAAAGTGGGGGAGGGGGGGTTGGCGCTTTTTCGGTAGATCTAGATCTAGATCTAGATCTAGATCTAGATTTCTAGTTCCCACCCCGCAATTTTATTCACGGGTTTGGGCCACAAGAGTAGGGGGGTTTCAGGGGGGCATGCCCCCCTGAATTTTACCACAATTTAATGTTTGCAGTTGTTAGGTTTGATATCTTAGCTCACCGCGAATTAGAGGTGTGCGAGTCCAGCATATTAAGATTCGAGTCCAGACTCGAGTATCTGCTCTGGACTCGAGTAATTACTCGAGTCCCACGGCTCTTAACCCTCATCCTGCGGGAGCCGGGTTTATGTAGCCCGATAGGCCTATTTCGGCACCTCGCCTGCGTTCTGGTCCCGAGTCAGTGTAGCTCCTGGCTCAGCGCACGCGCA